AGCCAGAAGAGTTGATCCAAACTGACCAAAGAGCTATTCCACACCGTATGACGTCATGCTCAGTATATAAACTGGGGGGGTGGGGGTGGCCAGGCGAGCGCTGCTCGGGAACTGGCTGGGTATCGGTCGGCGGGTGGGGAGCCATTGCATTGTGCATTCACTTGCTTCGTGTATCATTATTATTATTATCATTATTATACTGTTACTATTAGCATTACTATTTTACTTTATTTCAATTATTAAACTGTTCTTATCTCAACCCAGGAGTGTTTCTCACTCTTACTCCTCCGATTCTCTCCCCCATCCCATCAGGGTAGGGGGAGTGAGCGAGCGGCTGCGTGGTGCTTAGTTGCTGGCTGGGGCTAAACCACGACAAGTAGTTAAAAGGTTACAACTGGAGATCATCACATCATAGCAGAAACTTGGCAAGTAACCACTCAAATGTCCCTGGTTCCCTACTGCACTTAGTAAAACAGATTTGTGTAACACCTTCACTGACAACGTTACACAAATCCACTTTAACTTTAGCTGTGCATACCTTGAAGCGAGCGTTGTGCACTGTGACCATCTGAATGCACAAGTCAAGGAAGGAACATCCTCCTGCTGGGTGAGCAGAATTTTTTTCCCAGTCACAAGCACACTGCAGTCACTAAGATTTTAAAAGCATCTCAAATGCAATCACATTTGATCTCAAGGCGAAGATTTTTAATGAAAGCACTGGAAGCCTAATTTGGGTATAGTATATTATGGCCAATACTACCAAACAGCAGAATTTCCACATTCCAAAACTTGGGAGAAAAAAAGGAAGAACTTTGCTTACAGAACTAACATTTACACTAATTACAGATATCAATTTTCTATTTTGAAGACTGTATTCTTTATAATGTTAATTCTTACAAAACTATAAACACTGAATATATACCTATTACTTAATTTACTGTTTACCATAACTCGTGGTGTGGGGTTTTTTTTGTTTCTTTTAAAGTACCTGAAACACTTCCTTGAACTTCAGTATTAAAGTTTTCATGCAGCAAGCAACAGGGACCTTTCCTTTTGAAAAGGATCTACATCATTTGGGGTTTTGCCCTGTCGAGACTGTTCGAATTCCCCTTCTTCTCTAAAGGTCTACTTTGTTAATTAATTTTTTTTTTTTTTACCATCTGAAACACCAAGTATCAGCAGTAACTCTACAAAGTAACATTAGTAGTGGATACCTAATTAAAAGATGACAAAAAAAGATGACAAAAAGCAGGGCAAAATTTGGCTTTTAAAGCTGTTTAGACAGCAAGCAGCTATGCCTCAGAAAAGAGTGAATATGATAAACTTTTCATTGTACTTTACAACTAACTTACACTATCTATACAAAACCTAAGCATCTAAAATATTTAAATCACCAGCCCACCATTACTTTAATAAATAGGCCATAATATGGGCCCAATTGTTATAAGTAATTAGATTAGCCTAACGTGTTTCACAAAATTGAAATAAAGCAGAACTATATCACTTACTCGTTGGGCAACTTCTGCGGCAGCTGCTGCCCTTGCTGCAGCTTTGGCCTTCTCTGCTTCATCGTAAGTAGGAAGAGAGGTAGCTACACTGTATGGAGGTGGTACAGGGTAAAATTCATTGCGTGTTTCTGTTCAAAATAAAGACGTTACACATTTTTAAGCCAGAAAGATGTCAAGAATATTAAATTTTACATGCATGTAACTATTAAGCTTTAAAGTATATTTTTTTTCAACAGAGGCTGAAATTTATTTCAGGTTCTTACAAGTTTTAAAAAACTTCATTTCTATAAAATAAAATAGCGAACAACTTGATGGTGCTTTTAGTTGCTACTCAAGGCAGAAACCTTAACCTAGATGCTGCAAGGAGCCAACAAATTTATGAACAACTGTATTTGCTGAGTTACATCCCTTGGCATTCCAACCAAAGGCTTTTTATCGAATCATACAAAAGACATGCACAGACACATTCTAAAAAAAGTTTTTAACTATCAACATCAATTAGTTACTTAAGTCCAGTAATTATCATGCTGTATTTTTATTAGCATGGTCTTGCTGCCAACTCCAGTTGTTCTGTGAAAATCAGTTTTTCAAGATTTCAATTTCACCACATTCTTTTAAAAATGTTTCTTCTATCAAAATGGACCACATACTTCATTCTTACATATTGAAATAGTAAAACATCATCACATAGAATAGAATTATTAACAAAATGAATAAAAACTATTTAAAATACACCTTGTGCTTCCTCCTACAGACAGCAGTGGTTTGTAACAAGATTGCTTACGTGGTAAAGATTTGTCAGCACAGGTCACATGGTAAAAAAAGTTGTCAGCACACCACCACGAAGATGTTATATATAGGGATAATTCTGCATAGCTATGTATTATACTTGCAAACACTGCCTCAAAGAACAGGGACAGGAAATCGGTCCTTTAATCCACATTAAAAAAAATTAGGTTGGAGGTTACTTCTAAAATATTTATTTGGCACATGGGAGACGCAAATCCAAGCAATTTCGCTTCAACAGTGACTTTGATGTTGCATGCTATTAAGTCTCCCATACTCCGAAGAAGAGTCACAACCTCATGAGGAAGGGAGCAGTGAATAAATAGAGAGACCTCTGTTACTCATTTTCCACAAGAAGTGGAAAAGAGCCTTTAAAGCAAAAATGAATCATTCCATGGCAATATTTTCACCAAACAATGGCACACACTTAAGAAGTTTGAGTTTTGACAAATCACTGCTTTGATTTTGTTTTTTTGAATGAAGAGGCAATAAAAATTGCTAATGAAGGCTAATAATGGAGCACTACTCAAAGATGTAGATTAAATGTGGAACTGAACTACATGCAGACTTAAATAAAACCTATTACACTAATTAATGAACATCCATTTAGCCTAGTAATTTGGAACAATCAGTGTAATTTAGAAGTGTGCTGCTTCTGAAGAAACCAGACAAAGGGCTGTGCGTGAAAGCATAGCTTTTCACTGCAATTGTGTGCATCGAAAAAAAAAAAAAACCACACCGCAGCATTGTACCACTTTGAACCAAGTGCTGATTCATACACACACCTGCCTGACAAGCTGTTCGGTAAGAAAAATACCTGAGGTTGCAGCTGCTTCTACAGCTATGCTACAGTAAGGTGGAGGGGAAGTATCTGCTTCAGATAAGGCTGCTGTCTGGGGAGTCTGTGTAGTCTCTGTAGATGTGGAAGGTTGCTCAGCTGCTGAAGACTCTGGGGGGTCATCCTCGTTGTGAAGCTTAGAAGAAAAACACACAAATTTCAGACGCATTCAGGGAATACTTTCCGTGACAACCTAGTACTTGCAGAACCATCTTCAAAAAGAGAGAAGATTACTCTTCAACAAAACAAAAATTATTTATAAACCAGCACATGACTACTTTAAGTAGTCCAGTTAAATCCTTTTAAGCAAACAGCTAAAGATAATCTACACTGCCTCCCTGCCCAGCCCCCGCCCCGAAACAGACTTCTTCAGATATTCAGAGAGTCCTAGAAATCTGGGTTTTTTACTATATGGGAAAATGCTGGCTATAAAATACTTTCTATTATATGAATATTTTAACACCATTGCTTTTTTTTTGTTAAATACATTCATAAAATGTATTAACCCATTTTAAAATACAACAGTTGAGCAACGCTATCTTTCACTGTATTAATCTAGAAGAAATAAAAAAATAAGGCACATTTCTACTACTGTAACTGAGATTTTTATACTCTTGCGTCTTGTGAGAGAGCTTCTCCACCCAAATTCTAAGACTTTTCAAAACATTCTGCTTTTCTTTACAGCCTGGAAGGAATCCTTTCCCCATAAAAATTTAAGTTGCTGGTTTGTTTGGTTGCTTTTTCTTTTAAAATACAGTTTTAAAAGGACATGTCCAGTTAAGCATATACAGACATAAGAATTTAGATAAGCAAGAATGTTCATTAAAAGTGGAATTCAGATCCAGCAACTAGTATCTTTTCTTAGAGAAGGTATTTTTTATCATTTTAGCTAACTTCATAGTGTTTAGAATATGAATCAAACTTTAAGAAGAAAGAGTACTAGCATAAACTAAAAAGTGCTAGTTCCCACTAGTGTAAACTACAAGATAAGATGCCTAGAAGGCAACTGCTGAAGCACCATATTTAAAACCCAGAAAATAAGATTAGTAAGTCGAACATATCTGAAAAAAGAATTCTGTAACTTCAAATTGGTAGCTTCTATGAACACCCTACAGAAAAATATTATTTTAATTTCAATAACAAAAATATTAAGAATACAACTACATTAATTTCATAATAGGCAAAGTACAATCAGATTGTTGGGAAAAGCACATTCTGAGAAGAACGAACGCTAAACTCCTTGTTAAGTAGTGTAGCGTTCACACCAAAATTGTTTTATATCCGGAGTATGTCACAGAATCACAGAATGGTTGAGGTTGGAAGGGACCTCTGGAGGCCATCTAGTCCAACCCCCACGCTCAAGCAGAACCTCCTGCAGCCAGTTGCCCAGGACCATGTCATAGAATCATAGAATCACAGAATGCTTTGGGTTGGAAGGGACCTTGAGAGATCATCTAGCCCAACCCCTGCAGTAAGCAGGGATTGAACCTGTGACCTTGGCGTTATTAGCACCGTGTTCTAACCAACTGAGCTAACCCGGCAGATTTTGAGTACCTCCAATAGAGACTACACAACCTCCCTGGGCAACCTGCTCCAGTGCTCAGTCACCACCACATTATAAAAAATAAAATGAAATTAAATTAAATAAATAAAGAGCGCTTCCTGATGTTCAGAGGGAACCTGGGAACCTCCTGTGTTTCTGTGTGTGCCCGTTGCCTCTGGTCCTGTCACTGGGCACTACTGAAGAGAACCTGGCTCCATCCTCTTCGCACCCTCCCTTCAGCTATTTATATACATTGATGAGATCCCCCTGAGCCTTCTCTTCTCCAGGCTGAACAGTCCCAGCTCTCGGAGACTCTCCTCACATGCGAGATGCTCCAGGCCCTTCATCATCCCTGTGGCCCTTTCTTGGACTCTCTCCAGCATGCCCATGTCTCTCCCGTATTGGGGAGGCCAGACCCGGGCACAGCGCTGTGGCCTCCCCAATGCTAAGCAGAGGGGAAGAGTCACCTCCCTCCACCTAAATGGCAACGCTTTGCCCAGCACAGCCCAAGGTACCCTTACAGCCGCCTTTGCGGCAAGGGCACGCTGCTGGCTCCTGTTCAAGTTCTGCACATTACAAATTCCGTGCTTTTCTTCCTAATGAAAAACTAAGGATAGCATCGGGAATTATAAGCATAGAAAACATTTCAACAGTAGGCAGGTAAACTGACAAGGTAGTTCAAGGGAGAACAGAAAACTCATCAGAAGAAATTAGTGCAACAGAACAACTTCGTGCAATTTTCATACGGCTTCTACCACTCTTCTCTTTAAATGTCTTAAATTACAAAGAGTGATAAAGTCGCTTGCTAAAGCATTTTTCATTGTTTTTTAGGAGTCCCTCCAAATACTGTATTCAAAGAACTATAAAGATTAAAGGGTTTATCTATACATAGAAACTACAAATGTATGCACACACATATGGAAGTATATACATGCACAGGTGCAATACACACATACTATTAAGAAGTCACCTTCAATGGAACTAATAGGGGTTATTGAAGGTTTTTTGGGTACTGAGCAATCAGGTCATTTAATGGCTAATCAGTGATCCAGAAGAAGTCATAACCTGAGAAATATGTATAGCCATTTAGAGTAGTTAAGGCCAAAGAAAACAAAGCCACTTCAAAACAACCTAATATATTTCGGGATACAGAAACCAAGTGAGAAGACAAAACACTCGATTCTAAAAAAAAAGTTGAGCAGGTCAGAAAAACAGCCTGAGCACTAGAAATGTTATGGTTCTAAATTAAGTACAATCATTCACAAGAAAAATCTAGCATTGCAATGGATACAGCTAAAATAAAACAATTTTTAAATAAAACTGTCATTTGATTAGCAATGAGACAAATAACAGAACATTACTAGCATACTTTTACACTAACGGCTGGTACACTCACCCTCATTTGGGATGTGTGTGTAGTTCTGACTACCCCACCACAACTCCCTGGTCTGCGAGCAGGGGAAGAAGTAAAGCCTAGTTAATGGATTTCTGTCTGTTACCTCCGTTCTTCCTCTCCTTTTGCCCTCCACTTCAGTCACCGCAACTTTCCTTCCCTACCAAGCCAGAGTATGTGCTGAGACTACCCTGAATACGCACAGACATCCATAGCAGCTCATTGGTCAAAGAGCTTATTACTGCTCCAAACCCACTTTGCCATCACCGAGGACATTAATTTTGTGTCTTCTACATGCTTTCTTGAAAGTTACCTTTCTCCAAACTATCTGTAATTTAGTAAGTTACTAAGCATGATGGTAACTTGAGGATAGGAGAACACCACACACATGAGACTTCTTGCCTTCAAAGACCAAGTTAACAAGTCATTTGATTGTTATAGCAACTGCAATTAGGAAACAGAAAAATTCCACCCTAAGGGCTCCATACAAAAGAGTCCCATTATGCCCTTCAGTGCATTCAAAAGGTCTTTATTTTGTAGGACTCATATTCAGGGACCAAGCATTTCTGTTTATCCTGTCTTCTACTACACAGACTTTTTGGAAATCCTGAAAGGCATTAAGGTCATCCTAACGCAGCAACTTAAAGAAAAACAGTAAGACTCTTTACTGAACACCCCATCATAAAAATCACAAGAAGTGGATTAAGCAGCTCGAGTGTTTACAACTAGAATAATAAACACGAGTTGTTCCATGAACAGAGACCAGCTTTTGTTAGTTCTCGTTAAGTGTCCTCTCTCCTAGTCTCTCCTCAAGGCAGTAACTTCAGTCTCTCTTGGGGGACTCCGCTGGGGTAAAAAACAAAACAGAACAATAGAAAGCCACAACTGCAGCAGAATTTGCCCCAGCAAGCTGGAAATTTTGCCTATGCCAGCAGGGTCTTTATAACCACCAGCGGTGGTTATATCATTTTGTCTTAAAACTCTGCCTTGTCTTCACAGGGCGCTGATTCTCCTCTGTGCAGTCACCAGTTCGCTTGAAACCAGTAGGAACCCGACTACCTTTGAGCCTCCCCCTTCCCGTTTAATTTTGGCTTATACTGGCTGGTAAATTTAGAAGTTATTTTTGGAGACGGGGGAAGAAGAGGCCTGACACTGCATAGGTTTCATTGCCATAGAAACCAGGCTAAAAACACTCAGAAGGGAACAGAAAACGTCTGTGTCAAGGCATTACTTATGCTACGTACTTAAATGTTACCTGAAACAGCATTGAACATTACAAGTATAGAAATAGTATCTAAGATTTTTTTTTTTCCCAACAGTAAGATTACTTTGCCCTCTTTTTTAATTAAAGGACTAAGGAGAACTCGCAGGTCATCATCCCAGCAGCCTCTCAAGCTCCCAGTGAACCATTATACGGTAGTAAGCAATACAGCTGCTTTTGCCAAGATTATGGTCGAAACAATTGCCAGGACCTATTAAACTACAGACAACTGTAAATTAGTACCCTCCCCTGTCCCCCGCCCTCAGATTTTGAAAGCAGGACACAAAGACATTTATTTCCTCCACATCTCAGCCTGTACACAGGCTGACTATATGGAGCTTTACAATTAAAAAAGGGACTACTTTGTTGTTAGACATATTACTCTCAAACTGTATATAAGTATTTCAGTTCTTGCTTTCACAGCCCTCCAACTACAGTACAGGCTCAAAAGTCATGATGCTCATATTCTCACTGTATATCTATGTTAGGACACTTCAAAGTTCAGTCGAGGAGCAATGACTCTTCTGCCACCAATGACTCAAAACCTCATGATAACTACTAAAGAGCATACAGTACAGGAAAAAAAACAATTAGTTTCTTTCATATGATTTTTACCCTGTATTATCTTCAGGTGTCCATCCCCCCCCCACCCCAGAAAAGTTCTATAAAACAATGATTGATTTTAACTTCTGAAATCAAACAGTGAATGTCAGACCTTTCAAGCACCAAAATATTGTAGAAAATACAGCTACCTTTATTTTATAATTTCTTTTAAAAAAAAAACAACTTTATTTAAAGAAGTACTGCATCTCCTCCTGTAATTTATTTCATTAAGTCTTATTTTGTTATTTTGTTTGTGTAATTATTTCCAAAGTAATCAGATGCAATGCCTGAAATCAGATGACACCCTACAAAGAACCTGAACTGCAAGAAAGTGCT